CTTTGCCGATCACCGAGTGCCGAACGGGACCCGGTGATCGACATCCCCAGCCTCCAATATGGAAATGCAAATCACGTACACATGTGATTTTTGCGCAGCCGTGCTGCCCTGTAGAAGTGCTTCTACTATAGGTGGATAGCAAGTGGTTAAAAAAATTTTCATTTATAGAGCACTCTCCCAATATTCCTCCACACAAAATAGTATGCACTGCAGGTGTGGAAGAAGGAAATATTAGCACTCCAATTTCTACAAGTCACTGTATGCATATCAAGCTTAAAGTTTAACCCTTGCCCGGCCTATAGTAAAAAGGTCTTGATAACGCCCTATGGGAGGGGCGAAACGCGTTGACGCATTTCCGGTCCACACTCCATGCGCCTGACGTCATTTCCGGTGAGTGGAACGCACGCTGAGCGGTGCGTTCCAGCAGCCATCTTGGTTCACTGTTTGGTCTAAGAGGAGTTCTGTCTTTGTTCCATTGTGGATGTGAGAGTCCTGGAAAGAAAAGTTTGTATATCTGCTGGAACTGAAGCCTGTTATACATAATAAACATGCCTTTAGCAAGTGTTTAACATGTGAATGGCCTTAATCTCCATTTGGTAAAAGTTACTATTGTGTGACAATATTATGCTATGTGAGTTTTTTTTTCTTTTGGTTGGATGGTGGAGTCTATTCGGAGGGTGAAGATTTTCCCTAGCGTGGCACCAAAGAGGGTTTAGGATCCCTAAAAATTCCTTAAAGGTCTTTTACTCACCAAGTTCTGGTGAGTGTATTCGATGTTGGTGTGTGCACTGGTGGAAGGTGAAAGTATTTTCTGAAGAAAAGAAGTTGGCACTTTTATTTTTATTTGCATTTTTACTTCTACAATTCAATTATGTCTTCAGCACATGGACTTTTGGGCGTTTTTGTTTAATATTAAGGGGAAACACGAATAATTTATGCACTTATTTTATATGATTTATTATACTGATTAATGATCTAAATTTGCGCTGTTTATTTATATTTATATAGTAAAATGATGGCCAGGCAGGACGTTCATCGATCCGGGTGGACATAATGATCTCTTTTCTTGACCCCAAAAATGTCATGGTGGTACAGATATCCCCCAATTTACCCCTTTTTGGAGAGTAGACAGTCTGAGGTATTGGGCAAGAAGCATGAAGAATTTTTTGAAGTCTTTTTGTCATGTGAAAAAATTTAAAAAAAAAAAAAAAAAAAAAAAAAAAAACACACACACTGTGACCAAAGTAACTTTGTACTACTCTTGGGAAGTGATCAGTATTTTTTTTTTTTTTTACTTATTATTATACAGTATTTATAAAGTACTTATCGCAATGAATTTAATTAATCTGGTCTATATAACTCTGGTGACCGTATTTAAAAAAAAAAGATTTAGTTTTAATTTCTTCATTTTCCACAAAATTACAAAAAAAAAAAAAAAAAAAAAACACCTCTCCATGCCACCTCTTATCAAATACCTCAGACTATATACTTTCCAAAAAGGGGTAATTTGGGGGGGCTATCTGTACCTCCCTGACATATTTGGTGCCAAGAAATAAGATATGCCATCAGTACACCAGAATTGATCGATTTTCAGATATATACAATAGATTGTGGACTCTAACTTTCCTACAGACTAAATAATATACACTGATTTTGGTTATTTTCAAAGAAATGTAGCAGTATACATTCTGGCCTAAATTTATTTCAAAATTTTATAACAGAAATGAAGAAAAACTTCAGAAGTGCGACAGTGCTGCAAGCCAAAAATTGGCCTGGGCAGGAAGGGGGTAAAAGTGCCCTGTGTTGAAGTGGTTAACTAAACTGACCTAACTTTTTTTTCATCCCTTCTGCCACAAATGCAAAAAAAGGTTTTACATTTTTATTTACCATATTTCTTTGTTTGGTGAAATTTCCTGCACTGAGTTTTAGGCCTAGGCTTGGCCCTGCTGCTTCCTGGATCACTATGTCACAACTAACCCTTGAAGCAGTTTTAGCAAGCTACATTTTGTGCACATACACACAAATGCTGTGGAGCACTGCAGTGCTTGTCCACTAGAAGCTGGTGGCATTTGTGAACTTGTGGAGAGTTTCACTTTAAAGTTAAAAGGTAGCGCTTTTAGAAACTTGCTGATATCTCCGAAGGGCAGTTTTTTTTTAATAGGAAAACCCAAATACAATTTAGGTAATTACCTTAACAGGCTAATCTCAACTGGTGATATTTCCCCCAAAAGTAATTTGTTCAGTTTTACCCCATATATACAGAAACTCACTTCTGCTGGATCCTCTATCATGTAAAATGAATTCAACGTACAAAATGCAAACCACAGTTGGATAAAGCCAGGATTTCTGAAAATGATCCACTGTGTCAGCCGTCAACCAAAGCTTGAGAGCTGATTAACACACGTGTGGTGCGGACAGAAGCTCAGGTTTCACAGCTAATTCCTACAGTAGTTCAGCGGTTCATGTCAGGTTTACATCAGGTTCAGGACAGGATTAGCTCAGGATTTTATCCTGTTCACACATTTGGCTTTAGAAACAGTTCCCATAGAAGTCAATAGCCTGTAATCTGCACCTGAAGGCACTGCTCAGAAATCATACATGACTTTTTCAACCGCACTGAATCCACACCGTCTGTGCATCAATCATATCTGAACAGGCACCATAGGAAGCAATGTTTTTTCACATCATGCGGATTTGGATGCAGTTCAAACCGCATCCAATCCGCATATGTGTGAACTGGCAGTAAAGAGTAAGATAAAAACTCCTTCCTAATAATTAGTATAATGTGCCTGTGCCCTGTTTTGCTAAAAAAAAAAAAAAAAAAAAAAAAAAATTTAGAAAGTTTACTGGTGCAGTAACCAAGTGTGTGGAATAATCTGCAGGCTCACAAGAGCCTTTGCACCATTGCCACACACACTGTGCATGCTACCCTACTTCAATGTAAGTAAGCTGTGTGCAGTTTAATGTGAAATACCTTTTTGTACAGCTGGGATGGGGCGGGTCACATGCTCTGTGATGTCACCTCAGCTTTTTATGGTACTCCGCCCAGGCATTGTACAGAGAATTGACAGTCAAGGATTTGATCCGCCCCAAGGGATTGACTGTCACCATGCTCAGTATTCAGGTTTTTACAGTGATTATAATCTTCCTGTGATAAGAATCTGGTCTATGATCAATCAGGTCTTGCTCAGCTAAGAATACTCTAACGCGAGCTGGATGTTGAAAAGCTGTTTCCTGGCTAACTGCTGTTAGAACCAGCATTTGAATATCAACATTATAGAGCATTCTTAGTTGATCAGGAGCTGAATAATCACAGTCCATACAGACCAGGAGCACAGCGATAGCCAGCAAAAGATTCTGTAAAGCAGACAGGAACTGTCAATCAAGGATTTGATCGAACTACCAATGCCTCAGGGCAGATCAAATCCTTGACAGTGTCAATCCACTTTTCACAGCCTGGGGGGGGCTGAAAAAGCAAAAGGCAACGTAGTAGGACATTGACCCGTTGCAGCTTAGCCCCATCCCTGACCTGGCCATGCTGCCGAGAGGGAAAAAAAAAAATTACATTGACTGCCACATTTTAAGTAAAAACAAAAATAAACAAGCGTTAACGGATTCCCGACCGCCCTATAGCAGAACTACTGCTACAGGGCTGCACAAAATAATGTATATATACACATGTGATTTTGTATATCCAGGCAGGGGGCGCACGTGCCGCCCTGACCGCACCACCATTGGCAGCTTAAGCTGTCAATCACTGGGTCCTGTCCAGAGATTCCCCGCTGGCACCCAAGGAACAGAGACAGAGGAGAGGTCTGTATGTAAACAATACAGATCTCTCCCGTCAGCTCCAGCATGCTACTTTGTATTGCTCTGCATAGCAGAGCAATAGAAAGCAGCAGGCTTACACAGTAAAGCATACACAGACAAAACAGTAAAACAGCACAGTTAACCTTTTGATCGCCCCATATATTAACCCCTATCTGCTCAGTGACAGTTAGTGCTTTTGTTAGAACTGATCACTGTATTAGTGTCAGTAGGAATGTCAGTGGCAGTTAGTCAGTCCCCAACCCCCCCCGTGTCAGAATGCCTGCCACAGTCCCGCTATGAGTCGCTGATCACCGCCATTACTAATAAATTCCAATATATATACGGCACCATTTGTAGACGCTATAACTTTCATATATGTATTGGGATTTTTTATTTTTTTTTTGCAAAAGCATGTACAACACAGTTTGGCCTAAATTTATGATGAAATTTGATTTTACTGGATATGTTTTATAGCAAAAAAGTCAAAAATATTGATGTGACTTTTCCCCCCCAAAATTGTTGACTTTTTTGGTTTATAGCGCAAAAAATAAAAATGCACAGGTGATCAAATACCACTAAAAGAAAGCTTTATTTGTGGGAAAAAAAACACAAATTTAATTTGGGTGCAGCGTTGCATGACCAATCATCAGTTAACATAATGCAGTGCCATATCGGAAAAAAAAAATGGCCTGGTCAGAAAGGGGGGGGGGGGGGTTAAATCCTCTGGAGGTCAAGTGGTTAATCCAACATTAAATAATTTTCAAAATTTTCAATGTAAATCAGTGACTGCTAGTGTGCTCGGGGCACACTGGCGGGATTTAGAATCATTTTAATATAAATTTGGATGAAATGTCCTTTAATTGCCCTACCAACCAAAAACACAAAAATCATGAGTAACATTAAAATGGTTTTATTTGAAAGGCCATAAAAAAGGAAATAAAATAACGTAAGCAATTTTACACAAGTTAGGTGATGACCATCACAATTTGTAAAACATACCCACCTACGAGGAAACAAAAATGCAACTGTTGTACAGCTTAATTGCTTCTCAACTTCATAGTTAATTACGGATGGGAAATCCCAAGTCATATGCACAAGTGAAACATTTACGTGGATGTGGCTCTTAGATACACGCAAAGAAGCGTAACTACGGAAGAAGAGTTCAAATGAAGACGTTTTTCTCAGATGGGTCACTCCATAGGAGGCTCCATAACATAACCATTTTCTGTGGATAAATATCCGTCTCCAGACTGCATGGATTCTTGGTCTAAGTACATGTCTTGACTGGTCTCTTCTGCGGGAGGTTCTTGAATTAAACCATTATCAGGAACTCGCTCTTCTCGCTTTTCACTGCGGTCACCCCGGTCTCTATCCCGCTTGTGATCTCGATCCCTCTCTCTGTCTCGATCCCTCCTCCTATCTCTGTCTCTATCTCTATCCTTATCCCTATCCCGCTCTCTATGGCTACGTCTCCTGTCTCGATCCCGGTCTCTCTCTTTATCCCTGTCCTTATCCCTTTCCCGGTCTCTTTCACGGTCCCTACCCTTTTCTTCTGGTTCTGGCTTGACCTCTGTTCCATCTAAGACGCCATCACCCACTTGCACTTCTTCAAGATTAACCTCAGCATTTTCTGGAGCTTCCCCTTCTGTTCGCTCTTCCTTCTTTTCCCTGTCACGGTCCCTGTCACGCTTGCGGTCTCTACTGCGGCTCCTGCGCTTGCGGTCTCTGTCTTTGTCCTTGTCCTTATCTTTGTCCTTATCCTTATCCTTGTCCTTATCCTTATCCTTGTCCTTGTCTCTACTCCTTTCTCTGCTACGCTTCCTATCGTCCTTTTCACGGCTTCGGGATCTCCTCCTGCGCTCTCTGGAGCGGCTCCTCCTCCTCTCTCGCTCCTTGTCTCGGTCACGGCTGCGATCTCGGCGGTCTCTCTCTCTCTCTCGATCGCGGTCCCTAATAAATTGCACAAATGAATTTCAGATTACATTTTAGATTAAATAAATAAATAAATATCAGTGTTCTAAATAATTCCTAAGACAACAAAAGACTCACGAAAGATGGGCTTCACATGTAGGTATTACCACAAAGGATCAAGCATACAACAGCCTATTGCGAAATAATGGAATGCACATTTGATACACCTGCTTTGCACGCACCACAACATGTGGTAGTGTATTATGTGCATTGGGGTGTGTGTGCGGTGTTGACAATTAGGGATGCACCGATCATGATATCGGTATCGATACCAAGTATATTCATGAGTACTCGTGAAAATGCTCCCAATACCCGAAACCTATACTATGTGGTGCAATATCTGAAGCCAGAAAAAATTAATGGGAAAAAACTGCACTACAAAGAATGGCATGTGATTTGAACAGGAATGCAGGGTCATTCCTGTCTGAATTCTATGCGGTTTCTTCACTGCTCCTGTGTGGGCTCAGGCTGATCATAGCCTGAGTTCACAGAGGAGCCCTGCACTGATCCCAACCCGTCACACAACTAAAAGCCGCAGGTCTGGGGTGCTGGAAAGGCCAAAGAAAAAAAAAAACCACAAAGTGGTAATGGCTTCCTCTGCTTTATTGAGGAGAAATCGCTGGTGACCTAAAAATATGGGAACGTATAAATATGCATTCTTGTTATCTAGAGAGGCCAAAAACCTTCCCTTATGAAGAGAGAACAGGTTGAACAGATGCCATTTTGAACTTTTGGGAAATATCAAAGGCAATGAGATTCTTTAGGTTCAAAATGGGAAGAAAACTAAGTTGAAGTACAGAATTTGACACAAGTATGACAAATAAAGGCATTAACGCCTGTGTTTAACACCACTTAGTCTAATTCAATTCGTTCACAAGCCTCTGAGCTGACTTTTGCAAGTTATGAAGCCCTCAAAGTATAGGAGAAAAATTCCAGCTGGCTGGAATTAGAGATGGCTGAAAACTCAAGAGTTTCAAAACAGTAGCAGAAAGACAGCTTAGCCAGAGATGTGCAGTTGTCACAAAGCAAGTTAGCCCTCTCAAATTTTAGACTGCAGACAGAACATTCTGCAGAAGAGGACTGAATGGGTTCACCAGCATCCCCCTGGTGACCTACCCTCTTATATAGACACTGCCAAACATAACAAGAAAAGTTCAAAATGAACCAGCCACTGCTATGCTCCGTTTACTGCCATACCCATTTCCCTTTCCCCAATGGGGTAGTCGCAGAACCCAGCTTGGGTAAAAGATAAGCCCCACAACCTTAGGGAATGACAGGCCAGTCAGACTGCAAGACAAAGCTTGAAAAAGTGACCTCTACTTGGGTACATTGTATTAGCAGCACCAAAGCGAACCACTGATTAACAATTGCTATAAAACATGCAACAATGCATTGGGAACACTCACCTTTCATCATATCGGGATGTATCATCTCTACCAGAATGCCGTATGTTGACATCAGCTCCACCGCGTCTAGTGCCTCCCAGACCACCGCCTTAAGAGGGAAAAAAAAAAAAAAAAAAAAAAAGAAAAAATCTAAAAATCAGTAAATGTGAAAACTGAATTCAGATGATAAATTTTCTTTTTTTTTTTTACACGCCATGTATTTCCTAGTTGCATATTTAAATTTTTCTTCATTCTAGGCTTTTTACATTTTGTCATAACCACTTCAGTCCAAGCACATGCATACACAGTACAGACCAGAGCCAATTTCTACATCTCTGCTTCAGGGCAGTTTATTTTCGTGATAACTCTTTACACGCAAAAATATGAAAACATAAATTTTTTTAAAAATGATCAGAGTACATGGTGCACAACCAGGGAGGAGTGTGGCAGCAAAGGGTTTAACAGGAGATCATCCAGGTACTCCAGACAACGAATCCCCAGAGCACAAAGTGAAAGGGACACACACATACAATTTAGGATGGGGAATTAGGCATCCATAATCCCCCCCCAGCAGGATCCAATGACTGACCATGGAAATTTACACCAAGAACATTTGAACCTTTAGGAGCAAAATTCAGAGTCTTCAGACAGCAATAAGCAGTTTAAAGTGACAGTAAACTTGTAAAATACAAAATCCGCTGCCATGCAGGGTTTTTTATAACAGAAGAGACCATAGAAATCTCTTCTGTCAAATCTCCCCCCTGCCTGTCAGCAGGTAATGTGATATAAGCTACACCTGCGCAGTTCAGTCCACATTTATGTCCAGCTGTGCATGCTCCGGTGAAAGACTCCCGTGCGCATATGCGGGAGTGATGTCACCACTGCTTGGCCATTCAAGCGGCCGAAGATTCTGACCCAAAGGAAGACTGGGTGAAGGCGATGTGCCGGAGAGCCATGACAGTGCTGCGCTGAAGGGTTCTGTTTGTAGGCAAGTCTGTCATAATGAAGTGCATTATTTTATATCAGGCATCACTAAATGGCAGGCCGGGGTCCAGATGTAGACCAAGTCACTATCCCATCCAGACCCATGCGGTCTCAGCCATTTAGGAGCCTTTTCTTCCCCCAGCTGTCTCGCGGTCATCCTCACAGAGCTGACAGCTCAAGGCAGGACAATTCTGGATGGAGGGCGGGAGCTGCCAGAAGTTAACAAGCTGGTGGATGGTTGCTAGGATGAAGTGCAGTCTTAGCAATCAATCACTGTCTGAGGACAGTACTGTTGGGGGGTGGAAGTGTGAGATCACTACTGTGAAAGGGGTGGAGGGGGGTGATAAGGGGGAGCGGAGGACCCTCATCATCAAGAGGGGATCTTGCTGTGAACAAGGAGGGGAATGATGTGCAGTGGGGATTGAGGACACCGATGTAAAAACAGGCTCAGATCTGTACATGTGCATTTGGTGCACACATCGTGGGTAAGTCAGCCCATTCATTTTAATGGGTTAAAATATCTGAGAAACACAAAGAAGTCCGACTTTTTTCAAAATTGCACCACAGCAACACATGGTGTGACGCACACGAAAATACACCACAGGGGCCTACATGAGATTCGGACTTCTGACGTATGAAAATTTTACTGCCTGGACCTCAGTGAATTTGAATTAAATACCCTTGTTTTATATGGTAAAAGTAAAAGTTTAAAAGCACGAAGGCAGGAGGCAAACTGCAAAATGCCAGTTTGTGGGCCCTCCAAATGACACTGGACACAGGCACCCTAGAACTTCTGGGACCCAAAAGGCCAACATTTCTTCTTGGTTGGTTTGGAGGACCGGGTCTTCATACGAAAAATTTTTAGTCTTAGATTTGGCATTGGAGGATGAAAAAGCTATTCATCTCAGAATAGAACTCCTACTGGTAGGTGCACAATCCTCTTTCTGAGGTAGCAAAGGACCCAACAATCTATTACTTATCCAAAGAAGGACCAAACAGGTCCCTCAAAAGATCACCCTGCTTAAGGAGCTTCTTTCAATGAAGAGCAGTTGACCAGCTTTTAAGAAAAGACAACAGACCCTGGAAAACTGACCAAGTGCATCCACCAAGCTGTTCATGCAATGAAGTCCAAATGTTGACAGAGGCACCCATTAGGATAAAACTAAGATTTCAGGCCATGTGTTTAGTCTAGACAGCCATTGTCTGGCAGAATGTCACAGAAGCACCTGCATGTTGCATGGCAAAGCCCACCAAAGAAAAGGGCTTTAGAGAGGGCCTATAACCAATTATCTACAGGGCCCTTGAATCTTCCAACAGGGTCCAGGTAAGACCAGAAAGGGCAAGCTCTGCCACAGCAACCACACAGTTTCATAGGAAGTGTTCCCTAATAGGATATTGTTGAGCAAAGCATTTCAGAAGTAAAAATTTCTGCGTGAAACCAGTCCCCATACAGGATAGTTACTATCAGCAAGTGGACATGTAAAGCTGGTTTAAGCAGTTTAAGAGAGCCCATGCTGGACACCCTAGAGTTAGACTCTAGAATCTCTAATTTCATATGCATACAGTTGTCAAAATAAGGGCATGGATTGTTTTCCTTCCTCAGAAGGAGAATAATCAACGGCAAGGTAACGAGCTTGGGTCAAGGATAAAAACAGATGATTAAGGAGGGGAAGTTGAAGGGGCACAACTGTGATCTGGCTATATATGTCCTTGATAAGGCCAGATAATTCTGCCCATGAAGTCTGACATTGTGGCAGAGAATTCCTCTGTGGACACAAAAGTGGAAGCTGGTGTGGCAGAAAAGTTCAGCAGAAGAGTCAGATTAGGGGCAACGATCAGACTAAAGAGTCACAAGGCCCTAACTGGACAACTACTACAAGATATAACAAAAAAAAAAAAAAAAAAAGAAAGCCAACGAGCCCATCCGACCCTTTCCTTCTGCTTGAGATCCTAAAAATGCTTGTAAATACTGTCCCCAAAAGGGGTAATCACGACCTCTGCAGCTGTGGAGGGAGCAGAAAGTACATTGGTGCCAATCACTTACATGCCGCAGTAAAAACCAGGTAATGCAGTATAATCACTATACTATATCACCAGGAGACAACCCAGACATGTCACTGGTCCAATTTCCTGTGCACAAAAAAAATAAATAAATAAATAAAGGGCCCAGCGTGCAGCCTTACCATCCGCGGCACAGGTATAGTAAGTACATGGGTTGCACAGGCGCCACAAGGGGGGCAGCCATTTCAGGCTAACAATAAGTGTCATAAATCGCCCCAATTTTAAAAGCAACCCTACCCCTCATCCACAACCAGAAAAGTGGCCAGTGGCCCACACACTTTGAGGAACAAAGAGCACCCTAGGCTGTCTGTTTAAAGGGCTTCCTCCCTGTGCTCATCACTGGGATTTTGTAGGCACAATTAACGGGGACACCCCTCATCCTGGTTATCTGGAAGTGGGAGGGGTTAAACACACACAAACATATATTTTTTGTCTATGTCAAATTACCAGAAGGCAGCTGCATATAACCCAGTGTCAAGGTCCTGTGTCTTGTACTGTGTCACCCATGGACACAACTGGTTATATGCACCATTCATATCTATGAAGCCACAGGTATATGCTACTTGTGTAAAGTGGTGCATGCTCATGTCATAGAATTTTTAATATTATATAACACACACACACACACAATTTTAGATTTTTTTCAGGTATTGAACAAAACATATTCAAAGTATAGTTTATATAATGGATATGGGCCTAAAGTGCACACTCTCTGGTTTAATTTGAGGGTATGTTCATCCAAATTGGGAGGAAGGCTTTAGGAATTACAGCTCTTAACAGTAGCCAACCCCCTTTTTCAAGGGACCAAAAAGTAGTTGGACAATTGAATCAAAAGCTATTTCATGGCCAGGTGTGGGCTACTCTATTATTTCTTCATCATTAAGCAGATCAAAGGTTTGGAGATGATTCTAAGTGTGGTATTTGCATTTGGAATCTATTGCTGTGAACCTACATCATGCGTTCAAAGGAGCTGTCCATGCAAGTGAAACAGGCCATTGTAAGGCTTAAAAAATGAAACCAATCCATCAGAGAGTTTAGCAGCAAAATTAGGAGTGGCCAAATCAACAGTTTGGTACATTCTGAGGAAAGAACACACTGGTGAGCTCAGCAGCATAAAAAAAAAAGCATGGACATCCACGGAAGACAACAGTGGTGGATGATCACAGGATCCTCTCTATGGTAAAGAAAAACCCATTCACAACATCCAGGCAAGTGAAGGACACTCTCCAGGAGGTGGGTATATCATTGTCTAAGTCTACAATCAGACTTCATGAGAGCAAATACAAAGGGTTTAACCGCAAGGTGCAAACCATTCATAAGCCTAAATTAGAAAAGCCAGATTAGACTTTGCCAAAAAACATCTAAAAAGCCACACCAGTTCTGGTAAAGTTTTCTTTGGACAGAGAAAAAAAACTAAGATTAATCTGTACCAGAATGATGGGGAAAAAAAAAAAAAAGGTGTGTAGAAGTCTTGGAAACAGTTCATGATCCAAAGTACACAACGTCATCTGTAAAACATGGTGGAGGCAGTGTGATGGCATGGGCATGCATGGCTTCCAGTGACACTGGGTCATTGGTGTTTATTGATCATGTGACAGAAGACAGAAGCAGCCGGATGAATTCTGCAGTGTTTAGAGATATACGGTCAGCCCAGATTCAGCTAAATGCAGCAAAGTTTAATGGACACACACAGTACAGATGGACAATGATTCAAAAACACACAGAAAAAGCAACCCAGGAGCTTTTGAAGGAAAAGAAGTGGAATATTCTGCAACGGCCAAGTCAATCACCTGATCTCAACCCAATTGAGCAAGCATTTCACTTGCTGAAGGCAAAACCAAAGGCAGGAAGACCCACAAACAAACAACTGAAGACAGCTGCAGTTAGAGCCTGGCAAAGAATCAAAAAGGAGGAAACCCAGTCGTCGGTAATGTCCATGGCTTCCACACTTCAGGCAGTCATTGCCAGTAAAGGATTCTCTACAAAATATTACAAATAAACATTTATGATTATATTCAATTGTCCAATTACTTTTGGTCCCTTCAAAAAGGGGGGTGGCTACTCTTAAGAGCTGTAATTTCTAAATCCTTGCTCCAATTTGGATGTACATACACTCAGATTAAACCTGAGAGTGTGGAATTTCAGCCCATATCCATTATACAACTATAGCTTGATTATGTTTTGGTAAATACCTGAAAAAAAATCAAAAAAAAAATAAAAAAAAAAAGCCTAAAATTGTGCCTGTGTCCAAATATATATAAAAAAATATTATATAACACACACACACACACACACACACACGGACACTGGCACAATTGTAGGTTTTTGTTTCAGGTATTTACCAAAAACATATTCAAGCTATAGTTATATAATGAATATGAGCTGAAAGCGCACACTGTCAGGTTTAATTTGAGGGTATGTACATCCAAATTGGAGGAAGGGTTTAGAAATTACAGCTCTTAAGAGTAGCCAACCCCCTTTTTCAAGGGACCAAAAGTAATTGGACAAATTAATATAGTCATAAATAAAATGTTCATTTTTAATATTTTGTTGAGAATCCTTTACTGGCAATGACTGCATGAAGTCTGGAACCCATGGACATTGCCAAAGACTGGGTTTCCTCCTTTCTGATGCTTTGCCAGGATCTAACTGCAGCTGTCTTCAGTTGTTTGTGGGTCTTTCTGCCTTTAGTTTTGCCTTCAGTAAGTGAAATGCATGCTCAATTGGGTTGACATCAGGTGACTATTGAATATTCCACTTCTTTTTCTTCAAAAGCTCCTGGGTTGCTTTTGCAGTGTGTTTTGGATCATTGTCCATCTGTACTGTGAAGCGCCGTCCAATCAACCTTGCTACATTTGCCTGAATCTGGGCTGACAGTATATCTCTAAACACTGCAGAATTCGTCTGGCTGCTTCTGTCACATGATCAATAAGCACCAATGACCCAGTGCCACTGGAAGCCATGCATACCCATACCATCACACTGCCCCCACCATGTTTTACAGATGACGTTGTGTACTTTGGATCATGAGCTGTTCCAAGCCTTTTTCGCACTTTCTTCCCATCATTCTGGTACAGATTAATCTTAGTTTCATCTGTCCAAAGAATGCTTTTCCAGAACTGGTCTGGCTTTTTTAGATGTTTGTTGGCAAAGTTTAATCTGGCTTTTCTATTCTTCAGGTTTAGGAATGGTTTGCACCTTGTGGTGAACCCTCTATTTGCTCTCGTGAAGTCTTCTCTTGATTGTAGACTTTGACAATGATACGCTCACCTCCTGGAGAGTCCTTCACGTGTGGATGTTGTGAATGGGTTTTTTCTTTACCATAGAGAGGATCCTGTGATCATTCATCACTGTTGTCTTCTGTTGACATCCATGCCTTTTTATGTTGCTGAGCTCACCAGTGTGTTCTTCTTTCCTCAGAATGTACCAGTTGATTTGGCCACTCTTAACGTTGCTGCTCTCTGATGGATTTGTTTCGTTTTTGAAGCCTTACAATGGCCTGCGTCACTTGCATGGACAGCTCCTTTGAATGCATGATGTAGGTTCACAGCAATAAATTCCAAATACCACACTTAAAAATAACTCCAGACCCTTTGCCTGCTTAATTGCTGAAAAAAATAACGGAGTAGCCCATACCTGGCCATGAAACAGCTTTTGATTCAGTTGTCCAATTACTTTTGGTCCCTTGAAAAAAGGGGGGATGGCTACTCTTAAGAGCTGTAATTCCTAAAGCCTTCCTCCAATTTGGATGTACATAACCTCAAATTAAACCTGAGAGTGCGCACTTTCAGTCTATATTTATTAAATAACTGTAGCTTGAATATGTTTTGTTCAATACCTGAAAAATTCTAAAATTGTGCCTGTGTCCAAATATATATGGACCTAACTGTATATATATATTTATTCTTTTTCCACATAAATTACATACAACGCTTTCCACTTACCAAGTCTACGAGGGCGCCAGCCTTTTACAGTACGACCTCTCTCAACATCAACCAGCACACGCCTTCCATCAATTTTCTTTCCATCTGCATGCTTGTATGCCGCTGTAAATACATCATTTCCAGAAGGGCAGAACAAAAACAGTTAGACGAGGTGAACATCATTATTCCCCCCTCCCATAAGCTTATCCTTTCACATAAAACAAAACAGCATACTGAATAATGCAGGACATCAAGCAGCTGCTTCTCCGTGTTGATCACAGGAGTCTTCTGAAGCTAGCAATAGTACCCCTTCAGAACACAGTGTCAAAGAACAGCAAATGCTCTTTACACAGATTAAACTACAGTTGGACTTTTCTAAAAAAAACAAAAAAAAAAAACAAAAAAAAAACCTCTGCAAGTAAGCAGAGTGAAACTCAAGATATACACTATAGCTAGTTCATGAATATGCAGTACAGAGGAGCATTACTGTTATCAAAAACCTTGAACTCCATAACTATTCCCACTTCCCTGAATGTTACCCACTGCAACTCAGCTGAAAAGGAGAAAAAACAGGTTATGTAAAATTTTGTTTATCCTGTTCAGGTGTTACACACCTAATTTGTGTCTACTTTTACAGTGTAAATAATTACTACTGTAGGTCTAAATATTTGAGAAAATAAAAATTGTGAAAACCATAGTTTAGTACTTTTCTCTGTGTGCTGAAGACCCTAAGAATTAAGTGTACATATGTGTGAGAGTGGGGTATGTCAAAAGTTTACAAGTCCTCTATCACACAAAGGTAGTGAAAAGCTATAAGTAAAATACAGCATAGAAGCACTAGACAGAACCACTAAAATAATAAAAAAAAAGTTACCTGGTGAAGCTACTTACAAAATTTCTCAAATTACCGCCTCAAATTCAACGAATTTCGTGACGATATCTTGGAAAAAGGAGGTCTGAATCTTGGAAGATTTTGTAAAGTGCAGATGCATTTCTTATAGCCGAGAAATGCTTACCTGTCTCGGCTGCTCTAGGGCATTCCACAGCTTTGCATTTGGTGTACAGCTGAACACTGCAGAGCATCACAGGCTGCCTGCTAACAGTGGCCAAGTCACACAGGCTCCACTGGGCGTTTACCAACTTGCTTCTGCAATTACCTGGCTTTATCTGACACTTTGGCATTGTCCATAAAAGGGCCTTCATTGGAAATAATTAGCCATAATTTTGAGGAGATTCTCGGATGTGGCTCATACTGGTCAGGAGTGAAAACTCCTGTCAATATACCTTTAAAACATTCTGTATATGGGTGGCAATTTGTTTACAATATTGTTTGACTACACTTCATGAAGTTACAGCTAGATACCTGTTATGAATTACCAAGTCACCAAGACAGGATACTGCAAATGGATTTGCAATTATATATGGGTCAGGCATCTCAAATATTTGCTTTGTTAACAGGCCATCCACCAGAATTGGCTAGATGCAAATACTGTTCGGCTGTATTCTTACCAAAAATTAGCTCACAGACCTGAATGGCCACATTAAAAGCATAACTAAAAAGTTAAAATCACAAAGCTTACAAGCAGGCAGGATATTTATTGCAGAAGAAATATGCAATGCCTCCTTTGCAATAAAACAAACATACTGCCTGCTTGCAGTCTTCTGTGGCATGTACGAGGTACACAGCTCAGTTTACTTCGCTGGCATGGTATGTGTGCCAGGGTTTCTGACTGCTGTGCAAGTCTTACATCATCCTTTGCCAGTCAAGATATCCAAAGACTGGCATCCGGATGAAGCCAAGAATTAGGCACGGGACCCTTTCACGTTATTGGAGAGACGGTGTATTGTGACTTTAGTATATATATTTTATGCACAGGCTGCGTGTGTAGTAAATATATATTTCCCCATGCATAGATGCATTCCCATACATTTCCATTTTCAACAATACCCACATGGTGAGCAGGACTGTTTAACACACAGCTGAGAAAAAAGGACTTAAAGTGCCATAAATTACAACATGCATATAGCCATACGAATATTACCCGATAGGTATCTGACCCCATAAAGAAGGCTTTAAATTTCTGGATGATATACTGGTAAAGGACACTTGTGCTCTAGGTATATAAAATTTCCATGTCATTCTGATTAATAACCTCCTTGGTACCGGCCACATGCCCGCATAAATGCAGCCTCTTGGCAGGTGGGCCTTAACACCAAGAGGCCGCAAGTATGCGTACACAAAGATAAATAGACCTCTGCAGAAAGCGCATGTCCTGTGCACTCCTGGCACAGTTACCGGCGGCTAACAGAAAGCTCACAACTTCTACTTGCGATCACATGATCAGAAACCCCTACCTGCCTCCCCAGCATCTTAAAGTTCCAGGAGGCACCAGAGGAAAGGGGTATGTGACCTGGAACAGAGTTACAGAGTCCTAACACCAGCTGCACACCTGTTTGGGGTCAACCAATCAGCCAGATAACTAGCATGTTTAGGGAAAAGGTAAAAAAAAAAAAAAAAAAAAAAATTAAATTGCTAGGCAGAAAGATGATAAAAAAAAAACAAACACACAAAAAAAAAAAAAAAAACAACAACAACACAAACAATGCTGCTTTCCTTAACGAAGAAACCAAATATTTTTATTGGCTGGGAATCAAACTAGACAGAGCTTTACCTTGCCAAGGGCTCAACTATAAAAAGAAAAAATGAAGTAACCTTAAAGTGACATTAAAAACAATATCCTTATTCTCCAAAAAAAGATTTGCTACACGTCCACTACTTAATTGCCTTCCTTTTCATGATAAGTTTCCAAATGTTTTTTTTTTTTTGCCTATGTCCATGAGCTTCCTACATCCTCCGTGAGCTCCCAAACCTCTCCTTTCCTCACGTTTTTTTGGAATGAGCAGTGCACGTTAGTTGCAGTCATGGGCTCAATGCAAACTACAAATCTCCTAGTTCAAAGTTTCTAGCCCATCTTTGGAGAAAGCAAGAGGGTAGCTATGTACCTATATATAATGGGATTATGAAGAAGGAACATAGCTGCCGTCTAACAGGTTTATATATAGCATTTCAAGGAGGCTGAGAGCAAAAGGTACTTTTTGAGTCAGGAACAAATACCAAATGGAATTTTTTAAACCTGCAGTTTAGTGTCACTTTAATCCATTTATAAAGATAGGACTACTAAAACCGGGAATAAACCAGAGAAAAAAGAAAAAAAAAAAAAAAAAAAAATAACACACTGATTCATACTCTCAAATTGCAAGAGGTGCAGACAACACAATGAGGGGTTACAGGCATTCTTTTCTGCCCACCATGGGTTTAAGATAATACAATTTTTTTTTTTGTGTGCCCAAAATATAAGGATAGCCATAAATGGCCAGGGTAAGCACACTGTACGATTAATCAATCGGGCCGTCAAACTGATTAATAGCCCTGTTGATAACCATAAGTGAACAGTATAACACAATTTCCAAAATAGAAAACAAGTGAATAGCTAATTTTTCCCTTGTGTGTGGGGAAAATGGAACAAAGCTTTCACATTATGCGCATGCCACTAGCACCTGTCGACCAAAGTTACAGTTTTCAGTGGCATGCAGCTTATTTGATGACAGGAAGAGATCCCGTATATGAGATATCTAGCTGTCTGCCCACCCTAAGAGGTTTCAACTTAGAAAACCCATTTCAATACCACAGCCTTTTTCATTTCACAAACCTACTTCCCACACCTACCCCTCTCCATCCAAGCAGTCTTCAGCTTCTTCCTTTTATTAAGCGAAGATTTACCATTGCTGGCTGGCGATTCGTTAACTGCCTTATTTGATTGAAGCATCATGCGCCAGAGAGAAGGCGAAAGGATGACTCCACTTGCTGTGGCTTACCTGGGCCCTAGTAGCTCACCTTGCACAGCCTTACCAGCTGTATTATCTATGGCTGATAACCAGCAACGTAATTACTCAAAAAAGAATACTATCCCTAAAATCTCTCAAATTGCTAGGAATGAGAAAAAGCTATGGTAAGAGTTGAATGTATTTTAAATATCTATAAAAAAGGTAAATGGAACACACTACACTAATTTATACAGTTTTCCTTCTAAAGAAAAGCAAGCACACAACTATCTTCTAAGTCTACTAAAAGATGTGCTATATTTTAACTATTAACTGAAGTTACCTACTTCTCATTACGCTGTTCCTTATGCAAACTGGAGTGGTTTTTTCCAGCTTCCCCCTTCCCCAGCATACTATCAACGTAATATCACTGTATTCTATATCCACTCCAAAATTATCAATCCGCATAGTGACCCATGCCAAACAAAACACTTGCTGCATTATATAGCTTAGGGGGAAATTATGCTATGCTGTAGAAAATACTTTTATTTTTAATTCTCGAAATCGGGAAATTGTAAAACCTGTAATTTTGGCAGCTATTACAAACAGATTGCTTTGTAAATCAAAGTCAAATGTGTTATGTACATAAATCTAAATGAGGAAGAAATGGAAGCTGTCCCGTCAATTCCTTTTTACACATATATGCTACATGCTCATCTTTTTTCTTTCTACACTACTCAGCAAGTTGCAGACCTGGAATAAGCATCTATATTAGGCATTTAGATGGCTATTATTAATATGCCTGTTCCAGGTCAGCAACTTCCTATACAGTAAAGGATGAGGAAGGTTCAAGAACATGCAACTGGCTGCTGCCCTCTTTGACCTTTCACTAAAATATTGCCTTTTTACAGCAATAAGTATTTGTGTAATTATTCTATTTAACCAAGGCTTGCAAAACTTATTTTCTTTTATGAAATCCACCTGAAATTTAGTTTCAAATATCCCATTATGACCCAGATATATTTTAGCCTTTGATGGCTGCTCTTTAATATCTCTCATGGACTCCAATTAGATGTAATTTTACTTTTCATGCTGGATCTTGCATAGTTTAACATAAATGAGTAAACAGAGCAAGTCAGCTTTGTAATGAAAGATTCAAGTGGGTGAATTTGATAACCCAAAGTATAGATGTAAGAGTCCACATAAAATAAAAGGCTGGCAATGATTTAGCAAAAAAGAAAAAAGAAAAAAAAAAAAAAACCTCAAGGGCTGCCTGCATATTTGCAGCAGATTCCAGTTTCCAAACACTGCCCAAATGCTGGACACTTTTGTAAGGGCAAAGTTTCAACACTTACTAGCTTTGAAAGTGTACCTACTGCCATAAATTGCTACTGATATCTCACTGGCCAATAGGAAAACTTCAACACTGCACAACTAAGAAGTGGCAAAGCTTTGCCAAATCAAAAACAGACCTTTGGGTATAGTGTGGGAACTTAAAGCTGCTCTAGGTATGCGCTTAGGTCTGGGTGTTTGTACTTGATAACAGTCTACAGGTTTTTTTGGGTTTTTTTTTTTGGTTAAGGTGACAATCAAATTGAGGTCAAAACTCAGCATCAGTTTTGGGTAGACTGAGTGTATGCGTTACTAATTTACATTGGTAAAATGTAAGTAAACCAATCATAAGAGGAACAAGGAGCTAACACTGCAGAATGTCTGGTGCAAATGCTAGTTGTCTAGCCCTAATTCAGTCTTTCTCCAGAAACAAGTATGAAGATCAGGAAAGTCCAAAGTCCTCACATGCATACTTATTCCAGACCAGCAATTCAAAACTCTGAAGCAAGAGTGACCCCATTACAGTCAAACAACCAGCATTTTCAAGAAGGTTATCCTCCATGTTTTTCTCATGACGGGTGCTTTAAATTACTGCAGAGCTCTAAGTAATTGAGTGAGAAAGTTATTTATGAAAACAACTATACCTAAGAACATTGTTGTTTGTGAAGATTCAGTCCAGCTTTAAGGAGAAACCTGTGCTGAAAAGAATTTGCAGGTTGCAACTGCTGAACTGTCTTCAAAATTCTAGTTACCTAGCAGGGAGATGTAATAAAATTTAGTATCAAAATACTGACCTGATAAAAAAATAAGACGACTAAGAGTTCTGCCTTTCCTTGCAGCATGCATCTCAGAGGTTTTTTAAACCAGAGTGCAAGGCAACTACTATTTTCAGAAGATGAGGAACTGCAGCCTACACATTTTTCTCAGCACAGGACACCTTCAGGCCTCGTTCACACCATATGTGCAGAAAAACTGACGCGCAGATTTCACTTGCAGAGACACCAGTTTTCATGCATGTTTCAATAGGTTTTATACATAGCGTGGAAACCTGTGCAGAAAAAAATCTGCTCGTGATACTAGTGTTGTGGTGCGAACAGGGCACATAGAGAACAACTGTTTTTGTTGTAACCTTGCAGAGCTGGTGCAGAAAAAAACGGACCTCTCTACACCATGGTGTGAACGAGCCCTCAAATGTATCTGCATAGTGGAGTTCTAGAACATATTTTGTCAGTGAACCTGTGGTTACTCCAAACTTCCAATAGGGTCAGCAGAAAACTTCAATCTAATCTAAAACTTTAAAATAAGTTATTTAAAGCAAATGTTACCTAGGTGGTCTAGAGAATCTTTAGCAGTTTCCTTTACCCTTACAATTCCTATACTGCCTAAATTGCTTATTACTACTGATTGTAGTTAACGATCATAAGAAAAGTTTCAATTAATCTGTTAATTAGACCACCATAAAATCTAAGTGGTAAATGATGCACCTTTAGCCATGTACCCTTGCCCATACCCTTTAAAAATAATGTTCATGCTAATATTGTCACCTACAGCCCCTACCAATTATTAACTAGTACAGTATTTAGGCTAGTGATGCTTGTGTAGTGGAAGGATATTGTCTGCTGCACCTAAAAAGGCTGGACTGCTGCCTAAATTGCTGCCCTGTGTCTTGTGTGTAAATGCTGCAAAGTCTTACCCATCATACAAACCCTTATACCAACCATACAATGAGATGTTGTAAAGGGGAGCATTAGCATCAGCTGCAAGCCAGCAGTGGCAATTGCCATCACAATGGTGGCTGCAGTGGCAATAAGAACACAAAATTAATACACCCCACTCACATTACACTTTGTACAGTTTTTTGTTATTTTAAAGAAAACATTTTTTTTTATTTAAAAAAAGCAAATTGATGGGCAACAGTGAACTACGGGTACAGATTATAAATTCAAACAAACAAGTGGAGTTGCTGAATATACATATATTTAAAAAAAAAAAATAAAAAAAAAATGGTCCCAAGAACTCAAATTTAGTGTTAAAATTAAAATTCAAAGGGCGTAGGATGTATAAAACACATCAAGGAAGAGTTTATACTTCTGAAAGCATTTAACTTGGAATTTATAATCTACATATTGTTGCCCATCATATTCAGCCCACGTGTAAGGACCCAAATTACAGTAATCCCAGATTACCTTTCAGTTTACAGCTGATGCAAACTGAGAACTGCAAAAAGGCATTTCTTCTAAAGGCTCTAGTACAACAAAAAGTACCTAATACATGAGGGAGAAAAAAAATCCAAGCAGTAGAAAAAAAGTAAGTTTTCAGATTTTTATTATCCTGCCTCCTTCGGGAAAGGAATAAAACTCCATACAAACCTATGTGTTGAAAATGAAACACCACAGCTTATATAAATTTAATACATGCAGTGAAAGTGACTGTCTTTATTCTGTGTGTGTACTGAACAGACTCAATGGGGTTGATTTACTAAAAGTGGAGTGTGAAAAATCTGGTGAAGCTGTGCATGGTAGCCAATCAGCTTCTAACTTCAGCTTCTTCAGTTAAGCTTTGAAAAAAAAACAAAAAAACAAAAAAAAAAAACAAAACAAAAAACTTGGAAGCAGATTGGTTTCCATTCATAGCTGCAACAGATTTAGCACTTTCCAGTTTTATTAAATCAACTTCAATGGATTGAACGCAGCTATGGGATTAATGGAATTTGGGTACCCACTTCAACACAATAACTTACCTTCTGGAACCAGCCCCTTAGGGCATTTTAAACATTTATAGACTTAGCATTAAATAGTGTACAAATTACTATTAAAAAGAAACTTACAGTGCATATCACGCTCATGTTCATATTCAATGAAGGCATAACCACGAGGCTTCCCAGAACGCTTGTTATACACCATGTGAATCTTTGGAGAAAAAAATTATTTTACTAGTTATAACCTGTAGGAGGGCTCATAAAGACAGGCTATTAAAGGATTACTGCACTTGTCATGTTGTTTAGATACCTTTTGGTATAATAGGAAACTGATCCCAAGCTTCCAGACATTTTTCTGAGGGCAATTATTACAAACTGCTGTCCTAACATAAATGGCACCTGCCTGCCATGCTGAGTCACCAGCATAATTCCGGAGTTACGTTACTATCTGTCCTCAGCAAAAGAGACCCAAGACTGCCATGCCTTAAAACAAGTACCATCACACGTTCTCGGTAGCAGTTCCATTTTTTGTACTCATAATTCCTCCAAGTTATAGGCTAAAGTGGGGTATAGACTGATCAAAACTCGTTCAGCTAAGCAGGGACCCACCAAATTTTGATGTGTGTGGAAAAACTTTTACTGCAACCTCCAGTGTTTTGCTACAGGAAAGGCTTCATTCAGCCGTTTGCTACACATATGCGTTAATTTAATCCATGGCACTACACAAACAATGTGCTGTAGGGTTTTATATTTTACAATGCTCATCACCACAGATTGTGATGTTCATTCTATGCATCATACTGCTCCAGTGTGTATCCTACTTTACATTCAATGTGCAACAGTGCATTTGTATACACTAGTGTTGAGTGCATGTAGTACCACTATCTTATGTCCCCAATCCAAGTCACCAAGCACTGGATTGCATTCATCACCATAGTAATTTTTCCTAGAAAAGGCAAATCAACAAATTCCACTTTGAATTTACACTATTGCTAGTATGTTTAAGCGTACCATGGATTTACAAACTGCAAATTAAGTCTTTTAAATATTGAAAAAACCATGCATTAAATAAAAATTTGAAACCAGAACAAAACTAGGTCTCTACATACCCGTTTAATAGGTCCATAAACTTCAAACTCTCTTCGTAGTTTAGATTCAGTTGTGTCATAGTTCTAGAGAAAAAAAAAAAAAAAAAAAAAAAAAAAAAACAACACTCTTCAAGTTTATTAACAGAAACTACTATTCAAGCTCTCAAACTTTAAGCCAAAGTTTTTAAGCTTAGATACAGTAAGGAATGGTTAGGGCTTGATCATTAGCAGTTGGGGGCGGTAAAACCCTGAGATTGAGCCACGCTTTTATCACCTACAATTGTTACCTCTTTTAGCTGCAGTCAGTGACCAGGAAGTGTACTGTGACAGGAATTATTATAACCCGTTGCTTTCGATGGGTGCCACTGCCCAGCAAATGTGACTCAATCAAGTGAATGTGACTGGACTGTAAGCATCCTGCAACCACATATAATGCTTGTCAAGGCCACTGGAAAATTACAAATAGTATGTTTCTCCACTGACTAGACATGTTTACATGTGTGCAAAAGCACATTCTCACTTGGTATCTAGGCTGAAAACATGCTGTAAGATGACCAACCTGTTTCAAGTTTGCCTGCAAATTTAAGATTTCATAGACATGAGTTACCCATAAACAATTTGGGCTCATTCACACCATACCTGCTTGAAAACTGAAGCGCAGATTTCACTTGCAGAGACATCAGTTTTC